TTTGTCCGCACCATGCGGCAAAGACGGGCAACATAGAAAGGTGGACAGAGATGTAAAGTTCTCAGGGGTTACCAGCTGAAAGTCAAGGGAGCGCACTGAGAGAAGACTACTCCTAGATTTTTCTAATTTTCTAATTTCCGTTTTGTGCGGATAATAATTTAAGAATAATTTTTAAAATTTTTATATATTATTAAATACATATATGTATTTAATATTATAAATTTTAAATAATAAAAAATTTATTTATTAATAAAATTACAATTAAACTTATTATACTAAAGGGAAAATGAGGAAGGGAAATCACCTGAAACCAAATTATTAATTTGAAATGGTGTTTTTCCAAACAATTAAGTGGTAAATTATTTAATTATTTATGCGTGAAGAACAAATAATAAAAAATTTATTATTTAAATTAACAAGTAAAATTGTATAAAAATAATACAAAATTTTATTTTTAAATTATTATTTTTTTTATCATATATGCTCTATTGGATTTGGATCCGTCACATGAGCATACCGCACGTCAGAAGAATCCATATCTTTTGCGCGCGGAGACATCGAGTATAAACGCGCGACAGTCAGGCGATCGCGCGATCGGTTGTTCGATTAGTTTCGAATATTTCAAAGCCGATTCAGACGTATCGATACTACGTGTTTCACATTCGTAACCACTTAAAGGGAATATTATTTCCATTACCTATTTTCAAAACAAAAACGAATATTATTATTTAATTATTAAAAAAAATAACTTTAAGAATATGTATAATAAAAAATATATTTCAATATTATACTATTATAATTAATATTATTGTATATAAATTTATATTTAATATATATATATTTTTATCTTAATTACATAATAAAAAGTAATCATCACTTATCTTTTATCATATTTTAACTCGCATAACATGTTAGTTGAATTCAAAATTTGTTATTTTCATTAAAAAAAATGATTACTAAATTATTTAGATAATTGATTATATTTAAAATATTTAATTTTTAAATAAGATATTTAAAATGACACTTTCTTTTGAAAGTATTTATCCCAATAGAATTTGTTCCAAAATTTTATCAATATTATTTTATTTTACCCATTTTAAATAAAAAAATTTAAAAAAACAAAAATAGGAGACCGGCATTCAAGGATGAAGTCTTGGCCCGCTTGACATTCAGGCGGTGCAAATTTCTAAATGACAGAGCCAGCTTGAAAGGCCAAAAAAAAACAAAAAAAACAAAAAAGGAAATCTCTCTTAGAGGAGGAGTGCTAGGGGCACTCGCCTCCTGCACTCTCCGGTCAACACTTTCACTTTTATTGGGCCACGTTATTCTGGTTGTTAAGAGGTTACCTTCAAAAGCCTAAACAAGCTTACGTGGCCCAATGAAAAGGGAAGTGTTGGCCGGAGAGTGCGAAAGGCGAGTGCCCCTAGCACTGCTCCTCCTAGAGAAGAGAAGAAATGCAAAAGTTGTCTCTATCTTATTTTTTGAAAGAGAATAATGAAAGAGTACTACTCTTTATTTATTGTACATGCTTTAAGAGTTAGGATTATTATCAAATATAATTAATAGCACCGGCTTTTTAAGTTGATTGGTTATAAATTTTAAAGAAAGGTGCATCTTAGTTTTGGGTAGGGTTGTCGTGAGACTTTAAATAATTAATAT